CACCTCAATCGGATATCGAAATACAAAGTTATGATAAAAACATTGAAAGAAGGTGCAGCTGCCTATTTAAAACAACAAATTCCGTTAATTTTTCCGTTAAAAATAAGAAATTCCGTTAAATAGCCACTTTTAATATATAGAAGATATATATATATATATATAAAATTTGTGTTCCGCCATCTTTTTTAGCTTATTTTTGAGCTATATTTTTCAATTGACGGATAGGTTCTTGCTATTGTTTTGAAGAACTCACGACCAACTATGTGACGAATATTTCGAAATGTAAACCTCAAACAATGGAAAATAGCTAGTAAAGATGGCTACTTAAAATAGAATTATTAATTTTGCTTCGTTCTTGGTCAACTTAAACAAAATTCTATTTGACATCAATTGAAACACGTCTCATTTGAATATTTAAATATGAAATTATGGCAAATTTTCGGGTTGTTACAGTGGTATATAAATATTGTATTTGTTAATGAATTCGTGAATTGAGAATTTGGTATTCGTAGTTAAATTTGTATATTGTAGGTCTTGGTATTGATAGATATAAATTTGATCTTTTGAGGAATTGTAAGTTGCATTTACGTAGTATTTTAAGGTATATGTATTGCACATATTATGTGCTTTTGTTGTCTTTTACTTTTCGTCTTTGAAGTCAAATATCCAAAATTAGTCCATGTTTCTTAAAATTTAAGTTATAGTCGATAATTAATTTTAACCACACATTTCATGGGATGTACTGTTTTTCAATCAAATATTTCACTTACTTTTGTCGAAATTTATTGAAAATATGCATCAAATAGGAGCTTAATAAGAAGGCAAATTGTGCCCCATTTTTTTTTTCTTTCCGTACCTCGTATTGTCAAAGTATTCTTAAAAAAATTACAAGCCTCCCGACTGATTAATCATGAACTATTCATCTATGACGATATCTATAAAAAAGTATCCTTTAATTTCATAAAATCAAAATAAAATTAGGTCTAATGATGCATAGAAAATATAAATTATGCTGAATATGTTTAACATAGTTTTCGAATTTAGATGAAGTTTTAGACAATGTATGTTTATTCTTTGTCACTTCAACTTGACTAAGAACGATAAATTATTTGTTCATTTTGCGTCCATGACAAATATTTTATAACAATCCATTGAAGCACAAGAGATGCTCTAATCATCCAAAAGCTGAATTAAAATCAAACCCTTAACACGCTTGATTGTAGATGAGATAGTTCAGACCGATCCACTCATTTTGACATCTGTAAAGTAAAATAATCTTATTTCCTCTACTTGAATATCCGATTACGGGGGAGGGGGTTACAAATCGGATAGAGCGCAAAAAAGTTACTAGAACAACATATAATACGACGAGTAATGTTACATGTACACACACACTTTTACACAATCTTTTACACCTCTCTCACATGGAGGAGGGTCCACGATTATTTTATTATGTGTGGGCCCCCCTCCATGTGAGGTGGGTGTAAAAGATTGTGTACACTTAGCATTATTCATTAATTTTAGTTAAACGAAACACTAGATCTAAGAATTCAAGTGTACACTTAGCATTATTCTAATACGACAGTTAGACATAATTTGAAGGGTGACAACAAGTCAAAATTGAAATTTCTCAACTTGCATAACCTATAATACCATTTCAAGGGTAAAAACAAGTCAATGTCGAAATTGCTCAACCTGCATCAATTCTCTAGACAAGTAGAAAAGATTTTTAACTTCGTTTGTGTATTATTCAATTAAAGTTCGAATTTGTAACTTTTACATATATGAAATTAATGCACCAAATCATAAACCGTCACATATACGTTAGTTTTCACTGCGAATAGCATTTTTTTTAAATTTAGTTCGTTTTAATCTAAACATGTTAGATTAAATCTTAAATGAGTCATAACTAAATCAATTTAAAATTTATACATTATCTTGATTAGGAGCATTGCTCCTGCAATCACGCAAAAGGTTTCGGGCACCAAATGCTTTGCCCTTTATGTTTATGCAAAGTGATTTTGATGGTCCTTTTATGTGCTTTTGCTTTAGTCAAATCTTCTTGGTGTATTAATGAGCAAATTTGCCTTTTCAGCACGATTTCTGCCAACCATTTTAGAGAGGAAAGTTATAGAAGAGGGGCCCACAAGGCTTTTTGCATCCAAATACGACATGGGATTCTGATATTTCTTTATTTATTAGCCGAATAATAATTTAAAAAAAGTTATATTTTAACCGTGTGTGATTTGATTCGTGTTCCTTTGATGATTAAAAACCGATCTATCGTTAAAAGTTATTTTGATTGAATTGTGTCGAGGCTAGAGTCTAAATTCGTGATCATCACGAAATTCAAGAATGAAATAAATAAAATTTGACATCAAATCAACTCAGTAGAAGGTCCAAATCTCAAAAATGAAAAACGTATGTAATTGATCTTCTGTCCCCTGTGGACAGTGGACAATTTTTATTCTGCCCACCGTAAATAGGAGATCATCCCCGGAAAAACATAGATATCAATAAAAGTCCAGTTAAAACAATTTATTTAGCCCTATTTGGTCCTCGTTGCTTAAAACTCATTTTGACAACACATTTAACTAATTTTCATCAAAATTTGGAAAAAAATCTATTTTTAACCCCCAACGAGACGGGGGCTAATATCATTGACTATGGAATCTAATATGTTAATCCAATTATTCATGTTAAATACAATTGTGCATCTAGTTATAGTGCAATCCTTACATTAGTGAATTGGAGTTGAATATTCTAATTATATAGTATAATAATTGAGACTAGACATTTCCAATCCCTTTTTTTTTCACCTTTTTTGTTATGGTCTTTAAACTTAAGCGATTTTAAATTATTTAGCTCATGTTTGGTGAAGATTAAAAGCAAAATTTTTAGTTGATTTTGATAAAATGCGAAGTTAAAAAGCCATGGATCCTGTGAAATATATGCTTAAATTAATTGTTGACTTTGATTTATATTAAAATCTTCATTTTAATTCCTACCAAGCAAGAATTTAGTATTGTACAGAAGATTTTACATTGCCTCTACTTGATGGATGGCTATGATTCAATCTTGAGATGTAATGGTCGAACACCTCCCAAGGACTATGAAGAAGGCATATGCACAAAAAACACTTTGTGCTTTCGACTTAAAACATGTTATCTAATCGCTCATTTTGTGAACAAATTTTAAAATTGTACATGTAAAGTCAATTATTTATTTTTGAACAAAGCTTGAAAAAATGCTAACAAAATCCATTCAAAGCAAAATACATGTACTTAAAATACCTTCTCATAATCTCAAAATACTAACACACTCAAAATATTCGAAAGAAATCTCTTGAACTATGGATGGACTAAACACGTAATCGGTCTCGATTCACTTTCTTTACTTGTCAGCCCCTGTTTGGCTCCCATTAAATTCCATTACATTACATTAAGAGTGTGTTTAGTAGGGATTTTTGGGGGAAGAATTGATTTTTGAATAGTGATATGATGGGAAATATGTGATTGAAAAAGAAAAAAATATATTGATGTGATGGAAAATATTATTTTATTGAAAAATGTGTGGTTGAAAATGAGTAGAAGAATGATAATGAAATTTTAATGTGCTTCAAACAGAGGCATAATATGAATGGAAAACTTTACCAACTCATAATTTACTGTCTGTATATAGTGGCTAATGTAGGTGACATGCTAATGTAGGTGACGTCACTTCATAATCACGTGGCGAGTATGATTATATGCCCTCATCCTTCCC